TCTGCCTGTCAAAAAAAAAATTTTATTTATTATTTCAAAGACAGAGTTAAACACATAGAAAGAGAAAGACAGACAGAAAGCGATCTTTCATCCACTGGTTTGCTCCCCAAATGACTATGACAGCCAGAGCTGGGCCAACCTGTAGCCAGGAGCCTGGAGCTCCATCCAGGTCTCCCATGTGGGCGCAGGAGCCCAAGCACGTGGGCCGTCTTCTGCTGCCTCCCCAGGTCATACAGGGAACTAGATGGGAAGCAGAGGCTCCAAGGCTCGAAGCAGCACTCACATGGGATACTGGTGTTGCAGGCAGCAGCTGGACCTGACGTGCCCCAAGGCCAGGCCCAGCACTCAGTGTTCTCGGGATGGTTTAAAGAGCCACTCATGGTCACATGTCCGTGGCCAGCCACACCGTGGATCTCAGGGACTGCTAAGTTGGAAGTGGCAGCCGCAGCCCAGGGCAAGGTGACCCCAAATAACTTGAACGGCAGGCTGGCTTTGTTTCTGGTGCCAGGTCTGCTTGGTGATTCTCAGATAAGATAGCACCGGTGAGGGAGTACACACGGGCAAGCTTCTTCCCCACCTTTGGGTGTGGAATAGCATCACCTTTACCATCCCGACGACACAGAAACAGCCACACGTGGGCAACTGTCCTCCAGGCAAGAGCCTCACAGAGCCATCGCTGTCCCTTTCACCTCATTGTCCTTTCACCGTTGACCCTGGCAACAAATGGGAAATGCAGCCACCCAACCCAAACAGCAAAATGAGTTTGAGCCCTGAGGGCAAACTGCCTACCTAGTGCTAGCTGTGTGACCCTGCACAAGTTGGCTAACTTCTCTGTGTGTCTGGCTCTCGTCTCAAACACCTCCCTGACAAAGTAGTTGTAAAAGTTGAATTTAAGGATGCGCGAATGTGCTCGAATTTTGGCTGCTGGTGCTGTTGCTGCCGGCACAGCCAACTGTGGTTTTTAAAGAAAGTGAGACCCTTCAGGGGCACAGCTATTGCACCTGTGCTGGGCTGGTGGACAGCTCGGAGGAGGGCGCCAGGGCCGGCTCCTGAACCTGTGCTGTGGTCCCCTCTCTGAGACGTGGCTGTGGTGGGTGAGGTTTTCAACTTCTGTATCCACAGTCTTACTCTTTCCTTAAACTTGTATTGCTGAAACTTGGGTGGCTAGTGCACTGAGAGGACACCCAGATCCCCTCCAGCGCAGCCTAAAACAGCGTCTCAGTCCATGGTCAAGACTTCGAGCTGCCCGTGTTCCTGACATCAGGGACTAGGCAACCCAAAGCTGCAAGAACCTTGCGAGTGACGGCCCCGAGTGCTGCTGGGGCAGGAGCGCACCCCTGGCCTCCTGTGTTGATGGTTCTGCTGCAGAGGGTGGTGGACAGATCAGCACTGCTGTGCGTAGAGACCTCCCAAGTCTGCAGCCCTCAGAGGTGGCACGTGGGGCCCACAAAAAGCTCGTGGGAAATGGCTCTTAGGAAAACACTCTGCTTGGACTTCAAAAATGGGGGTGGGGCACCACTGGAAGCGTCTTTTTTAACTTCCTGTTTCCCACAAGCTTTCTGAGGACCTTATGTGCGCCCGGGGCACTTGGTGAAGCGGTGGGGGCATTGGAACAACCCCAAAGGACAAACAGCACACGGCATCTCACGGTCTGAGCTCCGTGACTTGACCGGGGCTCCGTGTGCTGGGAATTTCTACTGGGAGCAGGAGCCCAAGGAATTATTTTACAGGAAACCTGTTTGTTCCCTACAACTTCCAAAATGCTGTATCAACAGTTTTCTTTATTATACTTTGTGAAACCAAATGAAAAAGAGCTGGGCACAGGGAACATCCCCCTCTCTTTTTTTCTTAATCCATTCCATGGGAAAACAAAAGTTGTTTTGATCATGCTAAGTATTTTAGTAAAGAGAGAATAACAATGAAGATGGAATGTAAATGCTCCATTGTTCTTACAGATGTACTGTTCCAAAGAGCGAGGATCCCAAAACGCTGAAATTCTAACCAAAAATAATTTGGATGATGTGACTAAGTTGAAATGAGTGTGAAGCAAAACAGCACGAGCCCCATTTTCAAATGTTTGTCCCAGCATTGTGGGGAAAGAATATTCCAGAAAAACTTGGTGTCTGGTTCTGCTGGTGCCTGTGTTTGGGTCTACAGAGCCCCTGCGGGCATTTCTTCCTGGGAAGGCCGTGTAGGCCAGTGGGTAGGAAGGGGCAGCCCTTGGAGTCCGGTCGAATCGAGTTCTTGACTCCTCTGGGCATTTCTGTTCTCAGCCTGGCAGCTGCCACCCGTGGCCATCCGCAGGGTCTCTGTCTGTCGAGCTGCAAGGGGCAAAGGGCACAGAGGTGACAGCGGTGAGGCCTTGCTTCCCCCACCCCAAATCAAGAACCCAGAGTGTGGGCCACTGACCAGGCTGTGCCAGCCTTCTCCAGGAGAGCACGGAGCGCGGCTGTTTGCAATGACTAAGCAGGGCTGCCGGAGGGCCCATCTCACCGGCTCACCGTCTCAGCGTCCACCTCCCGGCACTGGATGTAGGGAGAGCATCCCACTGTCTGGTGCCTACGAAATAGCCAGAGGACCTGACAGCAGCTCCGCCTCCACGGCTCAGCCCAGCTCACGTGTGGCGAGGTGTGCAGGGGTCACGGGTCCTGCCTGTGCGCCCTGCTTGTCCTCCTGCTGTTTGCCATGCATCTGAGCTCTGGCTGAGGAGTGGTTCCGGTTCAGGGGGAGACAGTGCCCAGGGAAGCCTGGTCCTGACACTGAATTCTGATGCCGGTTGTTTGAGGTGCGGTGCGGTGCGGTACGATGTGAAAGCTCTGGGACTTGATCGCGCGTGGGAAGGATTGGTAGCTGTGTTTCCACAGTTTTGTGATTAGTGCAGTAATCACTTGTGGTAAAGTCGATCTTTGGCAGAAAGCAGGGCAGATACTTTGAATATCAGAAGGGTCTCTGGGAGGGAGAACTTGAGAAGGCCCGCGTCACACGTGGGTTAATTGCCCCGAGTATCTGCCGTGTCTTCCTGTGCCCATTGACAGGCAAGGCTGCCTTGTGAGTCTCGCGTACGAATGCGTCACACGGAGTGATTCAGCCCCCAAGCTGTATGTGTGGCCTCAAAGAAACAGAGAAGCCTCGGCAGGGCCGTCGACTTCTTCACGGTCTCAATAAATGACACCGACCTCCTAACTCTTCCTTCCTGCTTCCCTGGTTTAAGGAGTTCTGAAACCATCGGCCACGTGGCAGCTGAGACACCGGGGCCAAAGCCACCCTTCCCCTGGGACACTGCCACAGACAGCCGCCCTGGGCAGGTCGCTGGCCTCCCTGCGTCTCCCTAACGTGGAGATGAACATCATCACCGACTCCCAGGGCGAGACGCTGCAATGATTAACCGGGGCACGGAGGGCCTGACATGGGGCCTGCCCGGGTTCCTGCCCAGCCAACAGGGACCCATGTGGAAAGGAGGAAGGAACGGTGGGCTCTCTGATGGGTGGGGCAGCCTCCACCCTGGAGGGAAACAGAGGCAGAAGCAAAAAGGGCATTCACGGTGTCCCGGTACAGGGCTGGGGACCGGGCCGGCTCAGGCCCTCAGGGAAGCCGCTCTGGAAAACCCAGAGCAGAGGGTCGGAGGAGGTCAGCTGTCCCAAGGCCGCCCAGAGAAGCTTCTTATACGGGGCCCAGCCAACATGAAGGCCCTAAGTGGGGGAGGGTCTGGAATGTTCTGGATCCAGCCAGCGGCCAGCAGTGGCAAGGACAGCGTGAGCCAGCAGGAGCCTGGACCTGTGCCATGGGACTACAGCAGGACGAGGAGGGAATGCCTAGGGACCTGGAAGGCACGGGGTTGCACCCACGTGCAGCAGGAAGGCACCAAACGGTCTTTAGCAGGAGCTGGGGGAGGGGGAGCAGGTGCACAGTGCCACCGCAGGCTGGGCTCTGCCTCCGAGGTGTGGCTTCCAGTGACGCCTGTGCCTGGAGCCGGCACTATGGAAGCACTGCTTGTGCAAGAGAAAGCTAAAGGGCTTGGGAGCGCAGGCCCCCAGCTTTCCTCCTTGTCTGTTCAACCCGATCACAGGAGGGGTTTCCTGGGCACCTGCTCTGTGCTGAGATGGAGACCAGGCCTCAGGCTCGGGGCAGTGCAGGTCAGGGGTGAGAGAGGAAGCATAGCCCAGCGTGCGGCGGCCCGTGCAGGTCAGGGGCAGAGTCGGCCTGGGGAACGGAGGCGGCAGGTGGCGCACAGCAGAAGGCGCAGGCTTTGCTGAAGGAGCCAAGCCTGCAGGCCCCAGCAGACGGAGCGGGAGTCGGCCGCAGGGCTGGCTGGAAGGAGTGAACCGGGGCGTGTTGCACAGGAGATTCCAAAATGTTCTGAAGGCTGAATACAGTCTGCCATCTCCCGTGAAGCCCTGGGGGGCTACAAAGAGGTTTATCCCTTCCGCGTATCTTGGAAATGCAGCATGTCAATGCGTCCAGTATTGTCTGTCTGCACCTGGGATGTCCGTCCCTGTTTGTAGCATCTCTGCTGCTGTCCCCTGTCTTCTGTGACACCTCCGCGCTGACAGTGGTTCCCTCCCCTTGGCGGGAGGGGGCCAGCAGGGCCAGCCCTCTCCAGCAAGCTGCCGCATCCTCTTTGGCTCTAGCCGTGCAAGCCGATGATGTCCCCAACTTGGAAATCTGCCTGCCCGAGCCACAGGATGTGTGTGTGTGCGTGCTCACGTGCACGTGTGTGGCCTGTGCCCGCCTGTGCACTCGGGTGGGCAGGGTGTAGGGGTCAGCAGAGAGATGGGTGCACAACGGGTCCCGTGGGGGTTAAGCTACAAAACACACACCTGCCTGGGCTCCTCCCTTGTCCTGAATGACCTGAACAGGTCGAAGACCCCCCTGAGAGCTTCACCGGATGACCTGGGACCGGGGAGGGGGCCACAGCTTGCTGCCCGTGGCCCAGGTGCTCCCAGGCACCACGTGGGGCGGTCCTGTGCCCCCATTCTTACACTGCTCTTATTTTTCCACAGAGGTCTCATTGCCAGCAACTTCACGGAAACCCATTACCTACAGGACGGTACCGACGTCTCGCTCGCTAGAAACTACACGGTAATTCCTGCGTGTCCGGGTCCTGGAGAACCACGCGTCGGGTCTCTGCCCGCATCTGTGGCTGCTTCGCTCTGAGCAAAGTCACACGCCCAGAGCTCGCACTTAAGCCCCAAGAAGGGCTGCCTGTACCTTGGCAGTTGGGTGTCCCGTTGTCTCTCAGTCCAGGAAACCAGCCTTGACCAGACACGTGCTGGGACAGCCCGTGGAGATGTGGCCTTCCTGCGTGGCTGACCCTGAGCCCACCTCCCGGGGACAACAGGGGGGCCCACTGGACAAATCTTTCGAAGGGAAACAAACCAAAGTCAAAGAAGACTTGGAGCGCAGTCATCCCGGGCTGAGCCTTGCTATGTTACATGTCCAAGTTCTTAATGAAATGGGAGCAAGTCTCCCTGCTGAACCTATGATAAACATGACAGGAATGACACAGATAAGGCTTCAAAGCCCCGGGTGGTGCGGGAACGTGACCTTGATCACCGGTGATCACTTGTCTGGGTTTGGGCTCTGAGATGTAACTTGGACAAAGTGCTCTTTGTCTCTGTCCCTTTAAGACGTGTTTGCTGTACAGTGTGGGTAATGGGCCCAGTGTGTGAACGTGGGGCTGCCAAGAGAGTGGGGCAGTGCTGCAGCGCTCTGAGGATGAGGAGGGGTCTTCCTGGTAGAGAGGGTGGGGCTTCGCATTCCAGGGCGAGCGTGGAGGCCGGCACCCACTCATCGCGGAAGCGCCCTCCCACGTCCTTGTCTGTGGCGATTTCTCCCCCACCGCAGGCCAACACGTCCCTTGATCACGCATGTGGTGTTGGCACTTACACGGGGCAGGCGCCCGGTGGGGTGGGCTGCAGGAGCCCTCCCAGCTGGGAGAAAACACGGTGGAATCCGGATGAAACTCCAGGAATGTGTGTTGATGAAAGAACCAGAAAACCACCCGGAGGCAGAATCGTAGAGATGTGGTCCCTGGTGTTAGCAGCGGGGCTGGGGCCAGGGGACCCGGAGAGGGGGCCTGGTGCTGGTGTGGGGGCACGAGAAGTGGGCACCGGCCGCTGAGAAGCTCACTGCCTCTGTGGAAAGGGGACAAGGAGAAGCAGTTCAGAGGAGGCGTAAGAAGAGGGGTGTGTGCCCAGCGCCCTGGACTGAAAACAGATCACAGAACAATGCCAGCAAAGGGTCCTCCACCCGGCCTCCCCTGCGCACGGCGAGTGGGCTGGGCTCCACTCCAGCGTCCAAATGAAGTCCTCCGTTAAGACGTTGACCTCAATACCGGTCCCCAGTGAATGACCCTGCCCCGCCGTGGGCTCAGGCTGAATGAAAGCCAACACAAAATCGTTCCGTGGGGAAATTTCTACTGCTCAGATTATACGGAATGCTCATTCCAGCAAAAAAGAAAATACTGAGGATGAGCACCAAGATCAAAATTACAACCCACGTAATGAGAAAAGCCGCGAGCGAGCGTTGCCAGATGAGAGAGACCAGAGCTAGGACCTCCAGGAACACGGTAACAGAAAAATCAGAAAAATGTAGACCAAGTCTGATAGAAACAGCGGCCTGAAAACACAGTAGAGAGCAGGCAGGAAGCAGTGTTTAGACTGAATTGAAGAGAGACGCGCGTCTTGAAGGAACATCGCAGAGCGGGAAGAGTAAGAGTGAACTCCTTCCAGGGCGGATTTAGGGAATTCAGGACCCTGAGGGGCGACCTCAGAGACCTGCACAAACTCCTGACCCTGGAGCAGAGCACGCGTTCTTAGCAACCCCGGACGAGGACGGGAGAGCCGAGGGGAAGTGGCTGTCCACCCAACTGGTGTACCCACCTTGTTTTAGCCAAACCAGGGTGAGATGGACGTTCTGCTACCCAGAGTCCACCCGAGAACAGCTAGCCGAGGGTCCCTGAAGGAAACGGAGGCCGGAGGCAGGGGCGAGCCCAGCCCCAGGGGAATAGCTCTGCATGGTCTGTGCAGAGCAGTAATCAGAGTGGTTTAGAACAATTTAAGGATTTGTATTGGACTAGAGAATTATCATAGCCCTGCTGATTGATGTTAGATGTTGAAAAGTGTGTACCCTGTGGTTTTAAGTAAGAATAGAAACATCGAATCTAAAATTCCAAATCATTGAGGATGAGTAAAAATAGCACGTCAACCCAGTAGAGTTCAGGAGATAGGAAAAATAAATAAGCTAGGGAAATATAAAATACAAAATAGATAAAGTCAGCGTATTATTCACATTGTATATAAATAGACTGAATCTGTTAAAACAGAATATCTATTTAGGATTTAAAATAAAATCCCAACTGAATCTGGTTGCATGGTTCCACCCAAAATACAAAATGCTTATGAAAAGAAAGTAATGGAAAAAGACATTCTAGATAAATCTTACCCCAAGGAAAGCTGCAGTCGCATCTGCATCAGAAAAGCTGGGGCTTGCAGGAGAGAGCCACCAGCAGAGGTGAAGGGGGCCACTTTCCGAGGGCATCCAGGTCATCGTCCACTGCTCTCCCAGGCCATAGCAGAGAGCTGGATCGGAAGTGGAGCAGCTGGGACTCAAACCAGCAACCAGGCCACAGAACCAGCTCCTGAAAGAACAATTTTTAAAGTAGCAGCAACAGCAGGGGAGGAGCTACCAGACTCTTTCCAATTATGAACGTGGTTGAAAAATCCTAAATAAATATTTAGAGACCCTCCCTGGCACCAGAATTTTACAAACATCTGTGATCAGATGACACTCATCTGCGGAATGCAAGGATGGCTCAGTGTTAGAACAGCTAATGCTGGGGGTCAGGACAGCAGTGTCTGCAGGCGGCTGACACATCCTCTGTCAGAGTCACAGCCCTCATGGGTGGGGAATGCTCACGGGACCCTCCCAGCGCCCCCAGCACCCGGCATCCTGCCAACACTAACGTCTCGGCCAGGGCACTGTCTTGGGAGATGCCATCCAGAATCCATTCATTGCCTTGGCAGACGTTTGGTGAGCAGCTTCAGGCTGCCCACTGTTGGGGCAGGGGTGTGAGGTTCAACAAAATCTATTCCGATGCATATAAGCTGATGGGGTGAGGTGCAGCAGGTTAAGCCTCCACTTGCAACACCAGCGTCCCGTATGGAGCACGGGTTTGAGTCCCGGCGACCCTGCTTCCAAACCAGATTCCTGCTGACGCACCTGGGAGGCAGCAGCAGATGAGCCAAGTCCCTGCCACACATGCGGGAGTTCCTGGCTCCAGGCTTCCAGCTGGCCCAAATCTGGCTCTAGTAGGCTTTTTGGGAGTGAACCAGCAGGTGGAAAATGGATCTCTCCCTCCCTTCCCCTCTCCCTTCCTTCCTCATTTCCTCCCTCTCTCTCTGTCACTCTGCCTTCCAAAATAACAGATCTTTTCTTAAAAATTACATAATGAAAGAGAGAGAGAGTGATGACAGAATGAAACGTTGGTAGAAACAGCAGCAGGCAGAGACCAGAGGATGCGTTAGGGGAAGCCTTTTCCTGCAGAAGCAGGTTGTCATGAACAGAATTGTCTGGAAAGAGGAGGGGGCAGAAAACACAAGAGCTGGTGGTGGGCAGGGCCAGGGGTCAGCGGGGCTGTGCCTTCCACGAGACGGACAGTTCACTCTTGCTGGCAGCATGAAGAGCAGTGGGCGGCGGGAAGGCAGGAGATGCAGTGGATTCTGATTTGCTGAGTTCGTAGTAGGGCAGACAGGCCACGGGATTCAGAGGGCCGCTGGTGACCTCGAATCTGGATGACGGGAGAAAAACAGGCCGAAAACGACCTGAGGCTGCCCCTCGCACACAAACGGCAGTTAGCGCGCGGTCTCACGCTTGGCTTCCGTACCCCAAACCGCTTGCCCTTCAGCTCGCATTTCAAAGGTCTGTCTGGATGGAGCACCAAGGCTGTCTCTATGGTATAAATCAGTATTCCAAGAGGAAACGGAACGGAGACCCTGTGATGCTGTGACAGTAGCCAGCACCCTCCAAAAGCCCGTTGTCCGCGATGACAGTGGACACGCACACGGTCTGGAACGGGCCAGACCTGCTCCCAGCGATTTCTGTTCCAGTCTCCCTTCCTCGTTAGCTTTTTCTTAGCCGTCGCTTCCCCTTTGCCTCACTGGGAAGGGGAGATGTGATAAGAGCAGAGAAGAATAAACTCAGGACTAGGTAAGCGAGGGCCTAGGCAGACGGCTGCCAGGTCTGTCCTGGACTCGACCGTAGAAGCTGGAGGCTGCGACCCTCGACCGTAGAAGCTGGAGGCTGCGACCAACTTAGGAAGTAGCTGGGATGGAAGCATCCGGGCACCCTGGGAGTCGTCTGGGATGGAAGCGTCCGGGCATTCCTAGGCGTGAGAAATTTCCCGGCAGTAACCTGTTTTCCCTGACGGATGCTGAGGGGTGGGGGTCGGGGGTGGTCATTCCTTCTTGTTTTCCCATGGAGTGCCTTCCTGGAAGGGTGAATGCCTGCCCTGCTGCTCCCTGGGGGCCAAGTGCTCCTGGGGGCCAGGCCTGAGGACCTCCCCCCTGCCACGTGGGGTGGGGCTGGAGCCCTTGCTTGGAAGGGGATGGGGCTGCTCCCGCTGTCTTCGCTCAGCCAGTGGTGGATGGAACCTGCCTCCCCCCTCCCACCCCGGCACCCGTCAGCCCCACCCTCCCCGGGATGAGCCAAGGCCTTGGCCAGCAGGAGAGAAAGGGAGACTGCAGGGAGCCCCTCGGGCCCAGGCCTGAGCTCGCAGCCGGGAGCCCGATGCTGGAGGTGATGAGGCTGCTGCTCCAGGGTCGCCATCGGCTGATGCCGGGGCTCCGTCTGCAGCCGGCGAAGCCCCAAGCCTCCGGAAACAGCCAGCGCACGCTGCTTTTATCATTCGAGCAGTAACGATTTTGCTGTTCGTCCAGCGGCTGCCTTCTCCCCGTCCCTCGGGTGCCCTCCTTGTGAACTGTCAGCCGTGAGCCCAGAGAGAGAAGCAGCGGACATTCCCCTCCGAGTGACGAAACCCACGGCCCCAGACAGCTGCTCCCCGCAGCCGGGACCCTGCAGAG